CTGGGATTCACCCTGGAAGTGGGATTGGGGTGGGGATGGTGCTGGGGATTCACTCTGGACGTGGGACTGGGGTGGGGATGGGTTTTGGCACCTCCGTGCAGCTGCTGAGGTGGATCTGAAGGTGGAAGGTGCCACTTTGGCACCTCCTGTCACCCCCACATCTCCTTTCCCACAGGGCTGGCACCCGCTGGCATTTGTTGCATCCCAGTGGGAAATTCCTGGCACAGCAGCTCTGCTCTGTTTGGGGCTCTGCTCGGTTTGGCACCTGGGAAGGACTCCACAAATCCATAAATCCACTCCCACGTGCATCCATCCACCCTGCAGCCCTTTGTGGATCCCTCTCTCCATCCTAATCTCCCTGTGCTCCACACCCAGCTCCTTTCCCTCCTTCCCGTGCCCACACAGGGCTGCCAAAAACATCCCAAAATTTTTGATGCACTCGCAGCAGCCCCAAAAATTCTGCCTCCCTGTTGGAGTTCAGGCTTCTGTTGCCTCTGAGACCTCGAGATGGACCCTCCCACTCTGATGGTTTCTCATAGGAAAAAAAAAAAATAGGATTAAATTAAAATTCTCCTGGTTTTGTTTTTGCTTTTTGGGGAACGCACCTGGGGAAGTCCTCGTCCTGCCACTCCTCCTTCACATCCACGTTCTCCATCCGCAGCGTGGCCTCCGTGGTCCCCATGGCTCTCGGGGAGGGGCTGGAGCCAGCAGATCCCTCCAGGAAGGGCTCAGGCTGGAAAGGGGAGGCAGAGAGGTTGGCATGGAGCATCCCGAGCTGGGAGAGCGTGCTTGTTTGGGAAAAGCAGCGAAATTCCGGATTCCTGGCACATTTTGGGCCAGGAGGGGGAGGTGAGGCTGGCCCTGGCGCAGAGCTGTGGGTCTGTTTTGGCCCCAGCTCCTCTCCCTGGGCAGCAGCACTGACATCCCACAGCTTCTCCCCTTCCTGCCTCTCTGCAGTGCCCGTCTCCTGCTCAGCCCCTCTCCGCTGAGAGGGGAGCCCGGGACATTCCCGGATCCCACATTTCGGGTGGGATGGAAGGAGCCAGCCCTGGCTCTGCAGAGAGATCCCTGCCCCTGCTGCTCCCATGGCACGGGGAGAGGATGAGGAGGTCTCCCAGGGGTGTCCTTCCTGAGGGATCTCATTCCTGCCTTGCTCCAGGTGATCCAAGCACCCTCCCAAGCCCTGGAGCAGCTCAGCCGAAGGCAGGGCTGGGGCTGTGCTCCAGTCTGGCCTTTCTCCTGCACTTTGGGAACAAGCTCAGATCCAGGAATCCTGCATAACCCTGCATTTCACCCACACCGAACCCCAGCAGCCCTTAGAACCACATATACATACATACATATACATATATATATATATATATAATTTTTTTTTCTTCCAGTCAGAGAAATCCAAACCTTTCTACCCAATTCCTTGGGCCTGCAGCTCCCAGCAAAGCCCAGCTCAGGATTTAGGACCAGTGCTGGATGTCAGGGAGAGCAGAGACCCCATTCCCAGCTGGATCCTGCCCCGAGGGAACGAGGCCAGCTCGGATCTGCTCCGGAGCAGCCTCAAGGGGATCCAGCATCACCCCAGCCCCTGCAGGGTGGGCTGGGCTGCTCCCCCCGAGCTCAGCCTCCATCACACCGGGATTATTCCGGGCACTGGCTGGCTGGGAACGTTTAGGAACGTTTATTTTTTTGAGGATGGGGGGTCTGGGGTGGTTCCCGGGGCTGCTCTGTCCATCCCCATGAGCAGAGCCTGCCCAGCTCTTCCCGGGGTTTTTCCTGCTGCCTTTGGCGGCTGGGCGTGACCTGGAGGGGATAAACGCGGCTGTGTCGGCCTTAAAGGGATGGACCTGCGCTGGGGAGGAACCTGAGGCCGGGTGGATCCCGCATCCCCCCGCATCCCCCTGCATCCTTCCGCATCCCTCCGCATCCCCCCGCATCCCTCCGCATCCCTCCCCATCCCGGGCGATGGCATCAGCGCTGCTCCCTCCACCCCTGCTGGCATTCCCGGGATTGGCATTCCCAGGACTGGCATTCCCGGGATTGGCATTCCCGGGATTGGCATTCCCGGGATTGGCATTGCCGGGACTGGCATTCCCGGGACTGGCATTGCCGGGATTGACATTCCCCGGATTGGATTTCCAGGGACTGGCGATCCTGGGATTGGAATTCCAGGGACTGGTATTCCCGGGATTGGCATTGCCGGGATTGGCATTCCAGGGATTGGCATTGCCGGGATTGGCATTCCCAGGACTGGCATTCCCAGGACTGGCATTCCCGGGACTGGCAGTGTCCCAGCGAGCCCACGGCCACGTCTGCCTCCCTTCCTGCCTTCCCCACCCCTGACACCTCAATCCCACCTTCCTCCCCCTCCCCGCCGCCCGCAGCCGCTCCCTGCCCGCGCCGCACGCATCGCGGAGGGAGCAGAAAAGGAAAAAGGAAAAAGGCAGCCGAGAAACGCCGGCTGGAGACAGCCCGAGCCCCACTCACCGCTGCTGCTGCTCGGCGGGGAACAAAGGCGATGCCAGCCCGGCATCCCGGCTCCCGACGGCTGCGGCTCAGCCCCCGCCCGGGGATGCGCACGGAGGAGCGGCGGGATGCATCGGCCGCCTCTGCCCGGGCTCCGCGCTCTGCCCGGCGGCAGCGATGGATGCCAGGGCGGGTTTTTTGCGGTTTTTGTGTTATTTGTGCTCTGCCATGGCCGCTCGGCCGCCTCCGTCCCTCCCCTCCGGGGGATTTTGTGCTGCTTTTCCCCTAAGTCGGCTAATTCCCTGCTTTTGTGTGAGAGGGCGGCGAGGGGGGTCTGGAGGAGGGGAGGGAGGGGAGGGAGGGGAGGGAGGGGAGGGAGGGGAGCCCTCCCTGTGCCAGCGCCGCTCCAATTGGATGCCAGGCTCCGAACCCGTGCCCGGGTGGGCGGATGGAGCTGCCGGGGCTGGGCACAGCCTCCGCTCGCAGCGTTCCCCGGGATGCCCGGC